CCCTCCCCCTCCCCCACTCTATTGACCCATGCCTCCCAATATACTCATCTGTCTCTGTGATGTCACTTCCCCAGTCAGATGACCACCTTGGACAAGGATGTGACCCGCAGTGAGATGCTGTGCATGCTGGGAGTCCCGGCCTCCTACACCATCCATGACCTCATCAACTTTGCCGCTCCCATGGGGTGAGAGCAATGGCTTGTTTCTTTTTTTTTTTGTAACAGTTGTTACTCCTATCGGCCAGAATGACCCGCTCGTTTGCACCGCACCAGCTTCTGTAGTGAATGGATTGGGTGCTTTGCTGTTGCACACAGGAGACCTGAGTTCAATTCGCGAGTGTGGAGAATTTTTATCGAGTATTTGTTGTTTTTTTGACTGGGATGTTGTATATCCTTTTCAGTCTGGATTAGCCCTGATGGGGTAGGAAGCCTGTCTTCTTAATAATTGTTTCAATTGGGGAGTTAAAACACCTATATTAAACCTTTTCCCCAAAAAAATTATAAAGCAAAATGACAGAATGAGTTACCTTTTGTGACACTCGGCAGTGTCTTAATATGAGACAAAACCTTAATTTTCTGACACCACCACCCCAACCCCCAAACTGCAACAACTATGACTAATACTCTTTTTATCCACTTGTAGTCCTTCATCAGATCTTAAGTGTTATATTCCATGCAGCATAGACCAACAGCACTGGGAAGAGCTTGCACAAGATGGTGATAAGTAGAAATGAGCTTTGCTTAAAGGTGCAAGACAACTTTATGCGACTATTGAAGAAAAGACAAAAACGAAAAAATCAGGAAATCGAGATACATCTCGCAAATCCAAGATTGGTGTGCTCAAAATGCAGCGTGGTCTGCCTTCCAGTTGCTATACAAACTGGCTGTAAACAACGCTGCTTGTGAGAGAACCACAGCTGAATACCCACAAGCAACAAACTTTAAAGCTGTTCACAACCATCTGTCACAGATGGAAAGAACCATTACAATATTGTCAGAGTTTGACATAAGGATCACTTTGTCTTGTTGCTACACATCATCATCATCATCATCATCATCATCATCAAGTGCCATTTCTGTAGCAGACATCGATGATCATGGTTCTCCATTCATTCCTTTGCTTGGGTGCTCTTAAAAATTTTGTACTCATTAACAATAAAAGTAATATCTTTAATTTCCTCAAATCTGGTGTAGTTTGCTCCTTCCAAACATCTATCTTCCGTATCTCTCCTCATTTCTTATAACATTACTAATCTTCAGAATTTAAATGACCTAATTGTGTTGCAAGTGCTGTAAAACTCTTTCTAAAAAAATTTCCTCAGAGATTACGTCAAGTTCATGCAAGTTCTCCGGGATGCGTTTCCTAACCAATATCTGCTACTGATCAAGTTTAGGGACCAGGTATGTGCAACTGAATGGTTTTATGACAAAATAGGCTACCTCTATTTTTACGTCTTATGCTGTGTTTTTTTCTTCTGTTTTGAGTTGCTATTAGTATCTGTAATCTTTACTGTATTGTGCCCAGAAATATACTGTAACCATTGATTTTGTTGTTGTTTGATTCTTTTTGAATTTTTTTTTTTATTTCAACAGTGTACAGATTGTGATCCAAAGAATTACCTTTCTTCATTTTCCTTTTTTTGGATACAGCGCATCATGTCACAAAGCCTTTCATGTAGTTATCTACCCTTCTTCTTTTTAAGGTATCAATGTGCAGCACTGGTGTCAGTGGTGTTGCAATAAGGCTTCTCACTATTGTGATTGATTCCCTTGTGGAGGAAGGGTTTTTTTTAAGATTGAGAATCTTGGTCTCTCTCTCTTGGGATGCTGTATATTGATCTGCCAAGTACTCGGATAAAATCGGAGCTCTCTGATTTTAGAATATATTTTTTTTACTATGGAAGAACCTTGATCAGATTTGCACTAAATCTGGGTTTTTTCCTTTAATTCTGTTTCCATTGGTCATATGGGACCTATCGTAAAGATGTGGAACTACACATGTTTATTTGCAATATTTGCTTGACTTATTGTAAATGATGTAAAAAATGCACATTTTTAAATGTCGTTATTTGTGTGTGTTTGATTTGTGTGTATGTGTCACGACATGGTGAAAACAGGCACTAGACAGTTTTTGGGCTTGTGTCATTTGTGTAATTTTTAAAGCTTGTCAATGAAAAAAATACCCATCTCTATCTTGAATAGAAGTTGAGATATTAGCTTTTGAAGATGCGGGTCACCTGGTTTCAGAGATAAAATAAGCTAGAAAATGGCCGGCAAAGTTGGGCGACTTCCATAGCTTGAGAGTCCCTGAAAACTGAAAATTAAAAATTGTTGTGTCTTTGATCAACGCTTTTCAGTAAAACCCACACAAAAGTGTGTTTTCAAATGATCGTAAAAGGTGTTGAGCCAAAAACAGAAAATTCAAAAACAATTGCCCAATGGCCACAAGAATGCCAGTTTCTTTGATTTCACAATTTTGACAAATGCCCGACTTCACCACTGTGCTCACTTGTGGGTTTTTTTTGCCATGATCAATTCTTAAAGTTATCTGAATCTACTCAGGTTCAGGAGACTTCGTTTTTAGGGAGGATTCTGAGGATTACTTCTGTGTTCAGTCATGGAGTAGTTGGCTGATCTTTGTGTACCGCTCAGCCTGGGTCAGAGTAGCTTGGCTCCAAAATGATCTAAATTATGTCCATGGAAATGTGCTGCATCTGCAATCAACCAATCAATCAATCAGTCAACAGAATGCTTTTGGTCTTTCACTGTGCGCTGAGACTAAGTGAATGCAAACCAGCTAACTAAAAAAAGAACAAACTTTTACAAATTGAACTACAGTTGAACCTGCCCAAACTGCCTCCTATTCAAACTAATAACTAATAATCTGTACAAATAATCACTTCCTACTTCTCTCCGTTTGTTTTTTGTATATTATTATGAGACTGTTCAGGGCTTGGTCCAAGACCAGCACACCCTCTTTTCTTCTCAACAGTGGGTGGCTGTTCACGGACAATTTCAACTGTATTTACAAGAGTAAAAGTTTAAGGGGTCAGTCTTTCTTTCAGATATTATGATTTGATGCTGAAACCCGTGCTTGTTTTGACCTTTATCTATACTGTGTTGTTTGCTTGTGGCAACTGCTAAAGTTATAAAACTTTTAAACATTTTCTTTTTAATGAGTTTCAGGGTTTAGAAATTTTAAGGATTTGTATGAAAAGTAGGTTGGAAAATGCATGACCCAGAAAGTAACTCAGATTTTGGGTTTTTTTTTAAAAACTCTTTTCAGGCATCCACAGATGAGTTTTACTCCTACTTCAACAGTCGACCTTTCAACTCTATAGAGCCTGACATTTGTCACCTGGTCTATGTGGTCAAGATTGAGGTCACCAGTGACACTGAGGTGAGAAGGAGCGACAGTGTGTGTGAGACACCATGAGAAAAAGTAACTTCTGCTTGGCAAAAATTTTGCTTTTTTTGTTGTAATGTACGCAGAGCCACTTTTTTTTGGGGGGGGGGGGTAAAAGTAAGGTTGAATTCAGTGCTTTTCAACCTTTTCACAGCCAGCCCCACTGTTTCTACCCTTAAAACACAAACATTTTGGTACCGTTGACTGGATCAATAACAAAAACAAAATTGTACCATTGACCTACATGTATTTCCAAGTTGGACATTAAGAAACACCTATCAGTCCCCCCTGTGATCCCTACAACTCGCCAAAATTACCAAATCACCCAATTGTAGGCAGTACTGCCCAGGCTGGTTACTATCCCTCTTTGAGTACATTAGTCTGTCTTGCATGGGTGGTTGGAGGGCACCATTGGTAGGTCCTTCTTCTTTACTTTCCTTGTTTGTCTGTTTGTCTGTCTGCCTGTCTGCCTGTCTGTATTACTTTTTCCTGCCACTTAATGATGGATTTGCTTCTTTTTACTGAAAACAAACAAAGTCTGTCTTGCTTTTCCCCAGCATTCAAAGATTGTTGTTATTGTGTGGATGTGGCTCTCTTTACTCAAACAGTTAATAATTTCTTTCCGTGGTCCCTGTGTGTTTGCAGTGTGGCAGTTTGCCGACCATGGACCTCACAGAACTGCCTAACTGTCCAGTTTGCTTAGAGAGAATGGTAAGTGGGGACAAGTGGGATGTTTTGTTCGTAATGCTTTAGGTTCCAACAGAACACAATTTTTGTTGGTCTCTATTCATGACATAGAAAACGACGTTGAAAACAAAACTAAAAAGCCCAGCCATAATAAGAAAATGACATATAAAGCAAAAAGAAACCTACAGTCATGACTCAAAAACAAAAATGCCGCCAATACAATAGAAAATCATAACTAAGAAATAATTGAATATCTTCAGTCATTGTAAAAAACTAATTTTAATGAATATCACCAATCATATCAAAGAAACAAATGAATATCATCAGACATAACTAAGAGAAAAATGAATGTCTTCTGTCATGGTTTAGAAACCAGTGAATGTCTCCTGTAGTAATAAAGAGATTTTTAGAATCGAACCGCCTCAGCCCTAAAAATTGAAGGCAGAAGAAACAATAATAATCTGACTCTCCTCATAACCCCCCCCCACCACCAAAAAAAAAAAGAAATTATAAACAATTGAGCAAATAATAATCTGACTGTTCTAATTCTTTCCCCAATCCTGCCGAAATAAACCCTCTCGAAATACAATTGATAGAGTGACTTCCTCACACTTTTATTTTTTCCCCTGAGATCCTGATTTGGATTTCCTTGAGTGGCAGATCTGTAGACAGAGACTACCACTGTTTACTGTTTGTTTTGTTTTTCTTTGTCTCCCCAGGAGGAGTCGGTGGACGGGATCCTGACGGTGTTGTGCAACCACTCCTTCCACACGCACTGTCTGGCTCAGTGGGGGGACACAAGGTACGTCATCTTGGACAAACTCCCTCTTCAGGACTTGTGACTAGTGGGTGGTTGCTGGGTGCTCTGGTGTGGTTTGCTCTTTCTTGCTTATCGAACTTCTATCGATCTGTCGTCTTTATCTGTCCTCTTTTTTTCTCGTTGTATGTTACTGTATATTTACACCTCTAATCTTTGGCACTTATGTGAATTATTTGTGTCACAAGCGCAGTTAAACTCTTTGAAGGAACCAAGGACCTGTGACTAGAGCTGGTAACCATTGCATTGTGGGTCAGATCTGGCCTGCTTGTGTAGCGATGATGTAACGCTCTGAAGTGTAACTTACAAGAATACATCAAGTCTTTTTATCTTGCTGTTGTTCTCAAAGCAATACTGAAATTGGTCAATATGCTGGTCCTCAATAAAAATTAGGGGTAGGCAGTCTTTAAACTCTTTTTGAACCTGCTATTGCACCAGTCCAGTTTCCTTGTGATTCATTGCTGTAAACTCCTGTACTTTTGCCCCCACCAACTGCCCTGTGTACGCTTACTTTCCAAGTAAACTGTAAAATGCCTTTCAGAAACCATTCTGCTATTTCCTGTGTTGTTGTTCTGTAATTTCCAGTAGTCTCATGTAAACTGTAAAATGTTCTTTCAACAACCAGTCTGTAGTTTTCAATGTTGTTCTGTCATTTGCTGTAGTCTCATGTGAACTGTAAAATATTCTTCCAGCAACCATTCTGTAGTCTACATGGTGTTGTTCTGTAACTTCTGTTGGTTTAACAGCCAATCTGTACTTTACAGTACTGCTGTTCTCCTCCCCAGCTGCCCTGTGTGCCGCTACATCCAGACCCCGGAGGCTGTCGCTGACCAGAGGTGTATGCAGTGTGGCTCACACGAGGTAGGAAGTAGCAAGTGGTTCTGAATTTGGTATTTTTTTGTGTGGCATCGTGGTTAAGTCAGAAGCTCGTCAAAATAATAGAATCGAAGAAACCAGGGTTTTTTTCTTCCCGTTGGGTAATTCTTATTGAATATTAGTTTTTGGGCTCAGCTCCATTTATGCCGACTTAAAAACAAATTTCTTTGTGGATTTTACTGAATAATGTTAATCAAGGGCACACAAAAATGTAAATTTGTAGTTTCCAAGGATACATAAGCTTTAGAAGTCGCTAAGCTTTGGTAGCCGTTTTCTTGTTTGCAAGTGCCACAAAACTCTTTCTAAAATTTAACTATACAGTTCTGTATATATATATATATATATATATATATAATAATATAATTTTTTGTTTCACTCTTCTCTCCGTTCTCACACAGAGTCTGTGGATATGTTTGATCTGTGGCAACGTGGGCTGTGGGCGCTATGTCGGACTTCACGCTTATAAGTAAGTCAATTTGTATGTGTGAATGTGTGTGTATTGTGTGTGTGTGTGTGTGTGTGTGTGTGAGTGTGTTTTGTGCGGAAATGGGGGTTCTGCAGCATTGTTGTCTGGGTGGTATATGAGGCTTCATGCTTGTAAATAAGTGAGTGTGGGTGGTTGGTGGGTGCTCTGATGTTATTTGTTCCTTCCTCCTTTTCAAACGTCTATTGTCCTTATCTCTCCTCCTTCCTTTATTGTGTTTTTTACTCTCTTGTAACACTTCTAAACTTCAGTACTTATTTGACCTAACTGTATTGCAAGTGTTGTAAAACTCTTACTAAAACGAAAAAGTTGTTTACGGGTGCTCTGGTGTGGTTTGCTTCTTCTTTCCTTTGAAACATCCGTCGTCCTTATCTCCCCTACTTCTTTTTTTGTGTTTGTTACTCTCTTGTAACACTTCTAATATTCTGGCGCTCATATGACCGTATGCAGTTGCGAGCGCAGTAAAACTCTTACAAAAACTAAAAAACAAAAAAGATTTGTGTCTGCTTTGTGAGGGTCAGGCTCTTTTCCATCTTGGCCAAGTCAGTAGTAGCTGTGCGTGGAACACAGGCACCGTGTTTTGAGCATGTTTATGGTTTAAACAAGGCTCAGTTTTGGGCCCAATTCTCTATACCATAATATACATTTTCCCTGTTGTCAAAATTGCTATTTAAGCTTTGACATGCAGGTGGTTGGAGGGTGCCACTCTTAGGTCCTACTTCTATACTTTCCCTCTGTTGTTGTTTCTGCCTGTCTTTTTTACTTTTTCCTGTCGCTAAATGACCATTATGGTGTCGATGTGCTTCTTTTTACTCAAACAAACTTTCACCTGCATGCCTATGATATCCAGCTGTATAAATGTTCTTTACCATCAATTCAATGTTGTTCTTTAATTTCCCCACCAGGATCAATAAAAATGAAATTTTACGATTATCATGATTATTTTATTATTTTTATTCCTGGATGGGGAAGTTTTTATTGAGCATCCCCTTCTGTCTGTTGAAATGTTGTGTCACAGAGAGAGAGAAAAAAGAGAGAGAGAGAGACAGAGAGATAGCCTAAGAAAGCACAAAGAGAGAGAGAGATAGGCAAAGAGAGAGAGGGAGAGAGAGATAGACAAAGAGAGAGAGAGAGAGATAGGCTGAGAAAGCACAAAGAGAGAGAGAGAGAGACTAAGAGAGCACAGATAGAGATAGACAAAGAGTGCACCGAGAGGAAAAGAGAGACAGAGAGATACAAAGAGACAGAGAAAGATAAGCAAAGAGAGAGAGAGAGATTTTTATCCAACCCATTTCATTCTCTTACCTCAGGCACTTCCAGGATACGAACCACACGTACGCCATGCAGCTGGGCACAAACCGAGTGTGGGACTACGCCGGGGACAACTACGTACACCGTTTGGCTCAGAACAAATCGGACGGGAAACTGGTGCAGGTGGATGAAGGAGGGAATGAGCTGAGGGAGGAGAAACTGGACTCAATCACCCTGGAGGTGAGTGGGCTATACCTTCTTCTGTCATTTTGGTTGGAAGACAGAAAGTGGGGAAGGGAAGGAGGGGAAATTTTGATGTTATCGCTATGGAGCTGTATCTTTCAGGTCTGAATCTTAAGTCTGTCCCGTTATTACTTTTAGCCCATTTTTCTCTCTCTTCCCTTGCAGATTCCTTCTTAAGGTTGGAGGATGTGAAACATTTTCAATTTCAAGGTTTCTTTCTTGTGGTGATGACTTTTGTGTGACTTTTACTGACCAGTCTAGACCTCTGATGACTTCCATTGACACCTGAGGATTTTATGGGTGGTTGGTGGGTGTTCTGGTGTGGTTTGCTCTTTCTCAACTGAAAAACATCTATTGTCCTTATTTGTCCTCCTTCTTTTCTTCATATTTTACACTCTAAACACTTCTAATCTGCGGTACTTATATGACCTACAGTCAAATTTGTCTAAGACCACCTATTGTTGAGGAGAAAAATGAGCATCTTAGACAGGTGGCTGACTGAAACAGTGCTATTATAATGTAAAAATAAATCCCCGATCAATTGCGAAGGGTAGGGTTGGGGTTTTGTACAGGTGATTGTCTTGTACAGGTAGCAATTAGAGCAGGTTGGACTGTACTTGTGCTGCGAGTGCTGTTAAAGTGTAACTGAACCTTGATGACTGTGTTGACACTTGATGACCATGGATGGTTGGAGGGTGCCACTGTTAGGTACTACTTCTCTTCTGTCCCTGTGATTTTTGTCTCTTTTCCATCTTACTTCCCTCCCCCCCCCCCCCCCCCCCCCACCACTCCCTTATTGTGTCAATGTGCTTCTCTTTACCCGGACATACAAACAAACAAACCTGATGACCTCTGCTCTTTCTTTCTGACCAAACACCTATCGTCCCTATCTCTCCTCCTTCTTTTGTTGTGTTTGTTTCTCTCTCGTAATACCTGGTGCCCATTGCGCATGGGATCGGGTCGGGTCCGGTCGATCACCCAACTCGTCGCCTGAATACAAAAGCGTTTATTTTTAAGGCGACGAGTCGGGCGGGATTGGCCTGTGCCACAATAACTGCTTTGTGCCCTCAATCTTACTAGCAAACCAACCGGACCCAATCCGATCCCCCATTAGGCGTCTTGTAAAACACCTCTAAGCTTCGACACTTGTATGACACAATTGTGTTACAAGTTCCGTAAAACTCTCTCACTAGAAAAATGCTCTGATGACCTCTTGTAACCTTTTTGCCCCCCCCCCTCCCCAGTACACGTACTTGCTGACCACCCAGCTAGAGTCTCAGCGTCTGTACTTCATGGAGCAGATCCAGGAGGCGGTCAAGGACGTGGAGGCAAAGGTCTGTTCGTTGTGTCGTCTTGTTGGGTGTACAGGGGTTATAGACAGACTGATGGATGAACAGACAGACAGACAGACAAACGAGGGCAGAGAGTGGGCAGGTAGACAGAATATTCAGGCAGACAGACTGGTGGACAGGGGTGGACAGGCAGACGAGGGCAGGCTGCAAAGCATAGAAGAAACCAGACTGGGAAAAATAACATAGATCTATGCTCCAAGCCATACGGGTGTAGTGGGAAATGAACAAGCAGACAAACTGGCAAGCAATGCACCTGTCAATACTGACATTAAAATGGACAAAAATGATGTCAGGAAGGCCCTTGCCACCACACTTGAAGATGAGGAGACTGAGCATGACTCTGTGCCAATCTTACGACTTGAAGAACTGGGTGTCTTCAGAGGAAGACAGGTTATTAACCAAAAGAACACTGGAATGATCAGCAGATGGACTCTGAGGTGGATATTGGAGCGGGGAGTGGAGCTCGTATGGAAACGCCCGCAGTGCTACGATGTTGTTTCCAGGATCAAGTAATCAACTAATCAAGGAGGGCAGGCAGGCAGACAGACAGACAGACATAGGAAGATAGTTTGACAGACAGGGTTGAATGGGTAAGCTGGATAGACAGATAGATATATACACTGACTGATAGGGGCAGAGGAGCAGATAGATAGATGGGTAGACTGATAGATAGACCGTTGGATTATCGAATAGAGAGATGACAGGCAAACAGACAGACAGATAGACTGACAGCTATAATAAAATCGTGTTTTAAGCATGAAATGAAGGCACTCTCTTCTCATAACTTAGTTTGGAATTATTTGTTGAGTCCCTCTGTGGATGACCTCATTGTTTTTTTTGACAAACAATTCTATTGGTTTTGTGTGTGTGTGTCCATGAGCATTTGTATGTGCATATATTTATGTATCATGTGAGTGTGTGTGTGTGTGTGTGTGTACATGTTTATGTGTGTGTGTATGCTGTACATTTGTGTGTAGGTATGCGTGTGAGTGTTTGTGTTGTATGTTGTGTATGCATATGTGTATGTGCACTATTACCCCCTTGAATTTCAAGCCTCTTTCAAACTGAAGGAGCACAATGTGTGGATTGATATTATGTGTTTGTGTATGCATAGCTGCCAACCATCACGCAAAAAGTGTATTTAATACGTTTTTGAAGTTCTGAGTATGGAATCCTGTTTTGTATTTAAAGTTTGTATTCTCTACTTGGTAGTATTGCTGTTCATGGACTTACTGATACTGAAGAAAAATAATAAACTTTCAAAACTGGATTTATAAATAACATTGAGAACTAAGCCCATAAATCAATTACAGAGATCTTTTGTCGTAGGTCTACTTTTTAGTTTTAGTTTAGTAGAGGGTTTTACGGCGCTCGCAACTGAATAAGGTCATATGAGGGCAGGTCTACTTTGAATAGCTGGGTTTTATTGAGTGCAGAAAAGCCTGTGAAAAGATTTTGGAAGGGGGATAGGCTAATCGCACAGTACCCACCATCCTGACCCACTGTGTGGTTTGCTTTTTTTTGAGAGAGAGTGAGATGATATTTGTGTGTGTGTGTATGTGTGCGTAGTTTTTTCAGGGAAGATGTTAAAAGAGAGAGATTCTCCCTTTGCCCTGTGATGCGAAGGTTTTTGTGAAGTATTCTCGGTGCTAATCGCACAGTACCCACCATCCTGACCCACTGTGTGGTTTGCTTTTTTTTGAGAGAGAGTGAGATGATATTTGTGTGTGTGTGTATGTGTGCGTAGTTTTTTCAGGGAAGATGTTAAAAGAGAGAGATTCTCCCTTTGCCCTGTGATGCGAAGGTTTTTGTGAAGTATTCTCGGTGCTAATCGCACAGTACCCACCATCCTGACCCACTGTGTGGTTTGCTTATTTTTGAGAGAGAGTGAGATGATATTTGTGTGTGTGTGTATGTGTGCGTAGTTTTTTCAGGGAAGATGTTAAAAGAGAGAGATTCTCCCTTTGCCCTGTGATGCGAAGGTTTTTGTGAAGTATTCTCGGTGCTAATCGCACAGTACCCACCGTCCTGACCCACTGTGTGGTTTGCTGTTTTTTGAGAGAGAGTGAGATGATATTTGTGTGTGTGTGTATGTGTGCGTAGTTTTTTCAGGGAAGATGTTAAAAGAGAGAGATTCTCCCTTTGCCCTGTGATGCGAAGGTTTTTGTGAAGTATTCTCGGTGCTAATCGCACAGTACCCACCATCCTGACCCACTGTGTGGTTTGCTTTTTTTTGAGAGAGAGTGAGATGGTATTTGTGTGTGTGTGTATGTGTGCGTAGTTTTTTCAGGGAAGATGTTAAAAGAGAGAGATTCTCCCTTTGCCCTGTGATGCGAAGGTTTTTGTGAAGTATTCTCGGTGCTAATCGCACAGTACCCACCATCCTGACCCACTGTGTGGTTTGCTTTTTTCCTTTTTGTTTTAAAACGTCGATGTATGTATTTGTTCATATGTTGTGTTTACATGTTCTTTGTTTGTTAACATTTTTGTGTGACTGATGTTACCTGCTGATGGATGTTACCTGTTTATGCCTCAAAAGTTGGACTGATGGACAGTTAGATAGAGCCCAGTTTAGTCGCAAGGGTGGTTTGAGGGTGTCTTTGGTTGTTCCTGCTTCTTTACTATTCCTCTTATGTTTCTGTTTTTCTTGGTGGCTTTTTTCCCCCCTGCTCTCAATGACAATCGTTTTCTTGGATGTGCTTTAAAAGAAAAACAGCAACAAAGAAACACATTTGTTCGTGTCTACTCTCTTCTCTCAGCTGGAGGAATCAACAGAAAGATATGAGCAGGAACGAGAGGAGCGAGAGAAGGCCGAATGTAAGCTCGCTGAGTTGAAGAAGGAGAAGCAGACCCTGGACAAGAAGCTGACACAGGTGAGGGTGGGGTGTCAGGGCATGCTGGTGATGGCTCTATGTCTTGCTTCTTTTTCCGTCTTTGTCTTCTTCTCTCTGTTCTACTTCTTCTTCTTCTTCTTCTTCTTCTTCTTCTTCTTCTTCTCCTCCTCCTCCTCCTCCTCCTCCTCCTCCTCCTCCTCCTCCTCCTCCTCCTCCTCCTCCTCCTCCTCCTTCTTCTTCTTCTTCTTCTTCCTCTCCTTCTTCTCCTTCTTCTTTTTCTTTTTCGTTTCCTCCTCCTCCTCCTTGTGTTGCGAGTGCCATAAAAGTCTTTACTAAATTTAAATGCACATGTTGTTGTCACCTGCTATACACTCGCACATATATGACCTATTTATTTTGCGAGTACTGTCAAACTTTTTACTAAACTTTGACACGTAAGCTGTTGTCCCCAGCTACACATCCGCACGTGGAAGGTGATGAGTGATCTGTGAAACTCTTTACTAAAAGTGAACACATGTGTTGTTGTCCCCAGCTACACACATGCTCAGTGGGTGGTTGGCGGGTGCTCTGGTGTGGTTTGCTCCTTCTTTCCTATAAAAAATCTATCATCTCTATCTCCCCTCCTTCTTTTTTGTGTTTGTTGCTCTCTTGTAACACCTCTAATCTTCTTGCGCTCATATGACCTTATGCAGTTGCGAGTGCCGTAAAACACTTACTAAAACTAAACTAACGCATGCTCAGCCCTCAAATACGATCTATTTGTGTTGCAAGTTCCGTAAAACTCTTTACACATACTTGACCAATTTGTGTGGTGAGTACCGTAAAACTTTTTAATAATACTGGACGCGTGTGCTGTTGTCCCCAGCTACACACGCGCACTGAGAAGGTGATGAGTGAGCTGCAGGAGGAGAGACAGATGAACAAATGTCTGAGGGAAAACCAGCAGCAGTGGCAGGTCAGAGTAGGAGCGCTGGAGAAACAGCTCAAGGAAATCACGACGAAGAAAGATCAGGTTAGTTGTACACTCTGATTATTCTTTTTTTTTTTCTCTCTCTCACTCTTTTTTTTTTTTGTATGTCTGTGTCTCTCTTTTCCTCTTTTTCTCTCACCTTCTCACTCTCTTACTGTTTTTCACAATTTGTGGGCCACAGGAGGTGCAACATAGCCAGAACAGTTGCACGACGTCATGTTATAAATTGTTTCTATGTTGGAGTAAAACATTAACCATCTTTGCAATCTCTGGGCTACAGGAGGGACAAGATCACCAAGAACAGTTGCACGACATCATGTTATAAACTATAGTGTTGATGTTGGAGTAAAACATTAACCATTCTTATATTCATTGCCCCACAGGAGGTACAAGATCTTCACGAGTGAACTCTTAAATTGTCCAAATTGTGTCAATGTGGGTGTAAAACATGAACTGTTTTTGTATTCTCTGGCCCATAGAAGGTACAAGATCTCCAATTTAAGAGCAGTTGCGTGACATTGTGTTCTAAATTGTGGCCATGTCGCTGTTAAAACATTAACCTCTTTTATATTCACTGGCCCACAGCGGGTACAAGATTGTCATGAGAGGACTCTTAGATTACCTAAATTGTGTCGATGTGGGCATTAACTATCATTACCATATTTGGCTCACAGGGGGTACAGGATCTCTAGGAACAATTGCACTAAGTCATTTTCTCAATTTCTCAGGAAGTCAGGCAAGTGTTGGATTGGAATTCACAGGGTAAGAGATCAAGGGGAAGGCTGCGTGGAACCTGGAGAAGAATCACAGAAATTGATGTACAGAAAAGTGGGAAGACATGCAATAACTTCAAGGGGCTAGCCCAAGATAGGGAAAGGTGGAAAGTGTTTGTCCGTGGCCTGTACCCTGTGCAGGGTGAGAAAGGCAATAATAATGATGATGATGAAGTTCTAAATTGTGTCAATGTAAGCTTAAAAGATTAACCATGTTTACAATCTGTGGCCCCACAGGAGGTAAAAGATCTCCAAGAGCAGCTGCGCGACGTCATGTTCTACCTGGAAGCCCAGCAGAAACTGGCCAACAGCCCAGGAGTGTCCAGGGAGGAGATTCAGGATGGTCAAGTCATCGTCGGGGCTGCGGCTGCCTCATCCAAAACTCCCAACGGGAGCACCAAGAAGTCACGGAAAAAGCCACAGAGGTGAAAGGTCATTGGCTGGGTTGTGTGTGTGTGGTGGGGGCAGAGGGGGGGATGGTATTTATCGTGACTTCCAGAATCTGAATTTAAACCTGTTTACTTGAAGGCTACAAAAGTACGTATTGATCGATAAATCTGTAGTTTAGAATCAAATTATTATCAGGCTGTGGCTTAAGTGGCTTTAGCATAAGCTGATCTTTATTTTTTTGTTCCCTTGTTATTTTGGAAGGGGGTTCCTGCACCATAACAGCAACTGTCTCTTCTCTTTTTCCTTGAATCCCAGCAAGTTGTGGTTTTCAGATCGTTAATTACGATTTTTCTCAAAGTCTACAGGGTGGTAATCATCAGTCAACTTGTAATTATTAGTATAATTACAGTTGAGTTAAGGTACTTGTAGGCTTTTGTTATTGATGTGTACATTCATGTGTGTGTGTGTGTGTGTGAGAGAGAGAGGGCGAGAAAGAGAGAGAGAGAGAGCATGTGTGTGTGTGTATTGGTGTATATATATATGTGTGTTTGAAAGAGAGTGAGATAATATTTGTGTGTGTGTATGTGTGCATAGTTTTTCAGGGAAGTTGTTGAATGAGAGAGATTCTCCCTTTGCCCCTGTGATGCGAAGGTTTTTGTGAAGTATTCTCGGTGCTATAAGAGCCACTTTGAGCTTCACTATGTTGTGATATGACAGCTGTGCTCTGGTTTTGTTCACTGCACCTATGTTTGACCAAATACCAAAGATTTGGCTTTTTCTCAGAAAAATGTTTCAATTTTGAAAAAAAGAAATTTTTCTCCAAATTCTAGAAATTGGTCATTTCTTGTCCGAAAGATATGTTGATTATTTTAATAAAATCAATGTAACTTTAGGCAGTAGATTCAGTAGAAAGTTCATAACGTCATTTGCTTTGAAAAAATGGCATATTTGGATTGATAATGATTTTGACATCTGCTGAATATCCTTTTTTTTTCTTCTAATCTTAAAGAAGTAGTGAAATGGTCTTTGATGCACAACCTTTTGATAACAGTATTCGCATGAAGAGGCTCTTTTTGTTTAATAAATTGATCAGTGATCAAAGTTTGTCCGTGTCATAAGGCATAAGAGACAAACCCAAGTATTACTTCCCTTCTTCCATGCGCATTTTTTCGTTGTGCTTGTCAATTGGCATCTGTGGTGTAATAGTTAGGGGTTTCACTGTGGTAATCCTACGACATGAGTTTGATTCCTGTGAGAGAAGGATTTTTTTTATCAAGTATAACATCTGTTGCTGGAACAGAGCTGCTTGCCTCCGAAAAAATCTAAATAGTGTTGATGAGAGTGTAAAAGATGTACAATTACATGTATTGCGGGGTAGCAGCTCAAGTGTATCGTAACGCTTGGTTTTGGCGAAAATCATTTTATGACATTTTAAGGCATTGGGAAGGTGTGCATGCTTTAGTCTAAATAAACCTCAGATTCATGCGATTATTTTGTGAGCATACTCTTTAAGTTGAAATTCCAGATTTTGTTATTAAATATAGTTGTGAAAAATCTGGTTTTTTGCTCTTCCTGTAAGATTTGGAAAACCAGAGTTACGATAGTTGTGCTGCTACCCAGCGATATATTTACAGTTAATCATGTTCATCAGCTGAAAGGTGCTAGTGTTCACAGTAGAAAATATTGTGGATGACAGTTTGTTCTTTGGATTTCTCTTCAATTTATTTCTTATTACTTTGGATCATGGGCAGTTGGAGGGCGCTCCTGATACTGGCTAACTGGTAGGTCTTAATTTAGTCCCATTTCTTTCTCCTCTGTTGTTTTTGTCTATATATCTTACTTTTTTCCTAACTCTGAAAGAGTCCCTTAATTGTTTCCGTGTCCTTCTCATTGCTCAAACAAAGAAACAAAACCATAATTTGGATCATACAAAATTCTGGGATCATGTCTGATGGTCAGTTGGAGCTGTAGTTTATGTGTGTGGTTGGAGGCCCGTACCATTGGAAGGTCCTGCTTCTTTTCTTCTCTTTTGTATTTCTGACTGTCAGTCTTTTTCCTAGCCCTATATGTAAATGATGTTGTGGCGATATGCTTCTCATTATTCAAACTTGTCATCAAAGATGTCCATTTTTTTTTTACTTGTGAAACGAACATGGAAATGTGATAAAAATATTCCACTCACTTGCTGAAATTTCTTCTGTTTGTGATGTATAGTTTTTTGCATTTGGTGCTTTGTCTGAGCGAGGTGCTTGCAATGTCTGAGCGAGCAATGTCTGAGCGAGTGAGCTTGCAATGTCTGAGCGAGTGAGCTTGCAATGTCTGAGCGAGTGAGCTTGCAATGTCTGAGCAAGTGAGCTTGCAATGTCTGACCGATTGAGCTTGCAATGTCTGAGCGAGTGAGCTTGCAATGTCTGAGCAAGTGAGCTTGCAATGTCTGACCGATTGAGCTTGCAATGTCTGAGCGAGTGAGCTTGCAATGTCTGAGCGAGTGAGCTTGCAATGTCTAAGCGAGTGAGCTTGCAATGTCTGAGCGAGTGAGCTTGCAATGTCTGAGCGAGTGAGCTTGCAATGTCTGAGCGAGTGAGCTTGCAATGTCTGAGCGAGTGAGTGAGTGATTGGAAGTTGCCACTAGTAGGTCATGCTCATTGTCTTTCTGCTTGTTGTTTCTGGCTGTCTTTGTTTCCTGCTCTATATCCCTGCTACAGTAGAGCATGACTGTAGTGGCACCCGCTGCAGTGGGACCATCCCTACAGCGGGACCAGACCAGAATCCCCCTTTTGTTTTCTCTGTGTAAATTCAAATACCTGTGCTTGGGTATAACAGGGCTAGGAAAGGCCGGTACTTGGATACAGCGGAAGAGATTGAGCGAGCTCTAACTGGGGGTTTGGGGA